AATCAAAATGCTGTAATTCATGTCATCTGCCAGCAGGTAGCAATAATATCAATTTCACAGCATTAAAAATGCAAAAGGAATATTCAGAGCACTGTTACAGGACATTAGGCTAGATAAGATTAACCAAAGAAAATAAATAAATAATACAAAAAAACACCTATTCTGTGTTTCTGTCATTGAGCTTACATTTAAAGTTTAAAGGGAAAAAAGAGAAGACAAAGCAAAACAGACCTAAAAACTGCTTCACTGTAATTGAGTGCGTCAGCAAAGTGGCTTACAACTGTAATTTGCTGTCCTCCCAAATGAGATACAAGCTTTTGGAACACTTTGCAGACTAAAAGTGTTTGCTTTGGCACCTATTCCTGAATTTATTTACACCAGAGATGATATGATATGTAGAAACCTTTAAGGATATTTCATGTTATTCAGACAGGTTCTGTCTAAGTGATCTCTTGACTACAATGAGGGCCATTTAAACTAGTCAAACTGGAACATGGTTACTCACAGCTAATTTGTGAACTCACCATATCTGCCTGACGTGAAAATATTTGACGATCTGACATATTTCAGAGTGTATTAATGTTCAGAAAAATGTTTAAAAATCTTATGTTTTTGGTATGTAAAACTCAGTTTTGCCTGTGGACAGGAGCGCAGGCACTATCGTGTGGACACGTCCTAATCTAACAAGATGCTTTAACAGTTGCATAGACTACAAATAAAACTCCATTACGTCACAACATTTATTTCTTTGGCAGTCATTTCCCAAGTATTATATGTTCTTTTTACGATGTGTATCTTCTGTAGTCTTTTGGGGAGAAATTATCCATTTCAGCTCAGCGTGATTCTCTTTGTGTGCTTTGAACATTTAAACACTTATCGCACTTTTGAAAGCAAAAATAATAAAAATAAACTAGGACTAATGGAGAATCCCATGACTGACAATGTGACTTTAAAGCATCTTGCAAGTTGCACTTTGACCACTTATACATTGTTACATGTTACTTTATTTGATGCTAATCATGAGGAGAATTAATTGTATATATATATATATATATATATATATATATATAGGCAGTTCCAATTCTAATACTGAATAATCTGAAGGTCTACAGGGTCTCAGGGGAACTTTGGTTATTATTGTCATGTCCCTAACTTTTTAATCCCCTGAAACACTTCTACACCTTCACCTTTAAAACATATGGTGAGAAGCAAGATGGGAATATGAATAAATGATATGCAAAAATAGGGGGGACTCATGCGTGAAGGATTTGGTCTTGTCATTTTTAAAAGGCTTTAGCTCCATATATTTCTTGCCGTGTGTGTTCGTGTGAGGGCTTCCTTTTAGCGTTCCGTCTTTTTCTAATGTTAAATGTACAGATAAATGTACTTCATCACAAAAGTCAAACAGGAGCCTATGAACGTGCCTTTAGCTCAGATTTTAATTACTAAAGAGTTTATCTTTAGTGCATATTCTGTAAAATTGTTGTGTATATTCAGCAAATACATGTTTGATTACATTTTCCACACCTCCAGTAGACTTTTAGGATGCTGGAATGTCATATCCTTTAAAACATTGCCCTCTAGTGGTAGATGAATGGATTACAGTTCAGAACAGGTGAGATTCTCTGAATGGTTTCTGTGTCGCATCTATTTTATGAATGCAGTCTGTGTAATGTTCACAAAAGAAAAACTGTTTGTTCCTTTAAGACAGGGGTGTCCAAAATGTGACCCTGGGTATTTCGTAGCCTAACACAGTTTGCTGCCTGATTAGAATAGTAAGGGTTTAAAAGCCAAACTGTGAAAAGAAATGTAAATTTTGAAAATGCTTTATCTACAACTTCATAATCCATGATAATAATAATTCCCTCATTATCTGACTGGACTTTGAAATGTTAGAAATGAAATTAATTGGATGGGTTTTGAAAAGCACAGTTTTGAGGTACACCTTCTTGGTCGTGATGAATGTAGCCAAAGAATTTATACCACTTCATTGTGTTTGACTTTATACTTTAACTTTAAGATCGTTTCTAATAAAGAATTTGTGAGGTTTCTTATGCCAACCAGAGACCAAAGAAATAATGTTAAGAAAGTCTGTAAAACTATTGACTGTGGTGTCTTTGAAAGATTACTAGTAATTGTCATTGTTTCGGCCCAAAATATAAATGATTGAATGAAGGCTTCTTCTCATTACTGTATGGTTTATTATGAAAACAAAACTTTTACCCATTGCAAACTGCCTACACCTTAGACTGATCTTCACTTATAAAGCTATTTCTTCATGAATCTACTAAATGCCTGCCAAGCTGTTTTAAAACGATCAAGCTAGCTGTCATAGAACATGACAGACATGATTAAATGACCACAAACCAAAACTTTAAACTCAGAGCAAAAGAAAAAGTCTGATCCATGTTGAAGCTTTTTCAGTTTTCACCAATCTCATTTGTTTTTCCTCTCTGAACTGTGAAGGTCGGTTTGTTAGTCAACGCAGAAGATTTTCAAACATCGGTTCAGATCTCATAACACTTGTACAGTATTTCATCATAAATGCCGCAACTTCTAAACTTCATAAATAATTGAGATGCAAGATTTCTGGACCTCAAGTTACCACCATCTATACTATAAAAGATCAAATGTCCAGACAAAATTCCTCTCAACTAAAACAAGTTTATATGTTTATTATAAAGTGAGGTGAACTCATCTAGATTCTTTTCATGGGATATATCACCAATTTTTTGTTTTCAAACATATCATATTCTTTAATTTGTAATGTCAGGCTGATGAAAGGCAGGTGCTGTAATATTTTTTGATAATTTTATCATTTTCAAGTTTTTTGCAGATTATGTTTTTTTTTTTTTTTCTGAATTGAATGAGTGCACCGTCATTTCCTGCTTGATTGTACAACCACAGACATCACTGTAAGAGAGGAAACAAAGATCAACCAGGCTGGAACAAAGAAATGTTGATGCATTCAAATGAAACAATGAGAAAAACAAAAAAGTTTGTTTTTTTTCTCATTGGAGTCTATTTGTCACTTTGTGAGCTGAAAAAAAACTAAGCAATTCCCCCAGGCAATAAAACTGTTATCACAAGAAAAAAAAAGAAGAAACTTATCCTGAGACGATGAGATAATTGTTCAGTTAAATTAGAAACGCAATCAAAGTTTATGTTTTTTTGGCAAAAAAATAAAAGTTAAAGAAGTAAAATGACCCCAGTCAGATTTTGCATGTGTTACTTGAGGCGTAACAGAATTAAAGAGGCAGTTTAAGCCCACAATAGGATCTTGTTATTATTTATAAACCTTATACACACAAAGCACTGAGTACATTCAGGGTCATCTTAGCTCAGCACGTTCCAACAAATTAAATATTAATAAAGGGAAGTGTGTTTAACAACACACATTATTTAGAAAGCTGAGGCTTTGGGGCAAAGCAGAAAAACTTTCCCTTTGTAGAAGCTGAATAAAAGCATTCTTGTGCTGCGTTGTTTAATCCATTGTCTTTGCCTCACAGCAACCTTATTTAGTTCATTCTTTCCTCCATTTCTGTTTCTTTTATGTACATTGATCCGTAAGTTAAACCAAAACCAGGATAGAGTGGTTCAGTAAAAGTTGTGCGTACCGTGTACAGGTGAGTCAATTCATCTGGAGACACTTCAAAGAAGGACAAAATACCTGCTGGCCAATCCAAATACACTCCAAGGCTCAACGTTTTAAACTCAGTCAAAAACCATTCGGTGGAACCACTGTGTGAAAAAGTTCCATCTATGGACCAGGACCAAGATTTCTCATTCTGTCCTAAAGAAAACTCACTACTAGAGTCTCCACTCCGGGTGATACTTTTGTATGCCACTCCCGCCTCACCGTCTGATAAACGGTGAAACTCAACTTCCCAGTAGTGGCGTTCTGTCAGACCCTCTTTACAAAGAACCTGTGAAGAATTAAATCTGTCTGGATGGTCAGGATAATGTTGCTTCTCTTGATGAAAATGTGCTTGTTTATTGTCTTGGGTCAAAGTGATTGTTCTCCCTGCAGTGCAGCGTCAGATCACAGGCATCTATAAAGAGCATTATAAATGTTATTAATCCTTGAATATCACATTTAAAATCTGGTAATAATATCATCCTGGCTAATCCAAGTAGTCTAGCCTAGCAATGCCAATTTGCATGCAGTACTAAAATTTGTCCAAGTAATCCAATCCCAGTTGCCTGCCTTACACGTAAACAAGCTCAGCATCAGTGCACTGAGATTTTAACGTATAGGAAAAACTCAATAAAATGTTGCAACACACACTTGCAGAACTCCTTAGTGCATGTCTATGACTCTGTATAAACGGACATTTCAGAGATTTTGTGCAGTCTAATTTTAAATCTGCTTTTAAAATGAGTTAACAAAATCATACTGAAGTTTATTTACTCACAAAGTCCTGATATCTATAGATCCATGAAACCACAACTTTTAATGAGGTGGACACCAACACGTAAAGATTTCATCTGACAGAAATCCTTCAGAGAATTCCAGAAAGCTGTTATTAGCTGTCTGCAGTTATGAAAACTGTTGTTTTTTTTTTGCTGGGATTTTTCACAAAGACTGGTCTTGTTTTATTTGTAGTTTGCACTACCTGATGTCAGACTGCACTGCATGTTACAGTTTATTTAGTTAATTTAAATGTGTTAAATATATCTTTAGTTGCCTAATATAAAAATACAAGAAAACAAAAAAATATTTTAAAACAGAATATAAATAACTGTTATTGTTCCTTAGTGGGGAAATTTAGGTGCATCAGAAGCAAAGTGACAGGAAACTCAAGCATTCATAAATTAAGAATAAAATATTGTACCATAAATAGTTAATAACTATGTGAATGATGATAAATAAAAACATCCAATGGTGGACAACTTTATTGTCTTTCATACAAGTCAATGCAAAAGTTAAGCTGTTAGTTTTAAGTAGTTTAACAAACATTAAAGAGGTAATACGTGGTTTTCAACCAAATACGCTGTGTTCATCACAAATGTGCGCAAAACTTTGTCAGTGTTCTGATAATGTTGAAAATTCACAATCTTGCAATTGCTGTGTTAAATAAGAAATGCAATTAAAATCAGAGGTGAATAACTTTGTTCACACAATAAGTAATTATAAACACATGTTGCACTATGATCCTTCAATTGCTTCCTGTCTTTTTCTTCTTCGTGGATTGCCAGCATCAGGTTGTTGATCATGTGACTCGTATAATGTTAAAGTGTTTCCATTGCAGTTTTGTGAAATACAATCATTTTGATATGGCCAAAAAAACACCACCTAATCCAAATGCCTAAACATTTTATTGAAGAAGTGGAGGCTTCTTTTTCTTTTAATAATTTGTTTCCATTAAGCAAATTGTTTTTCGAAATCTTAAATTGTGCAGCTGTATGTGTGTATAGGTGTACACCCGCACTTTGATTTCTCCATTTCTCCACAATTGTGTCAACTGAATACTTTGTGTTAGCAATTTGAAAAGTATGTCTTAAAAGGGCCCATTTTTTTCTTCATTTGTTGATACTGCCAATTTCTAGCATAAAAAAATTGAATAAAAACTATGATAAAATGTACAAATGTTTTACATTTTTTGCAATATGTTATGTTTAAATTGTTGTGCTAGTTCGAAAAGACAGTTGCATTGTCCTAACCAAAACACAATAAATCTTACATTGCATCATAATTCAGACTTGAAATGTATTTATTTATACATTTTTATCCCTCATTCATCTTTTGTTTACTTATATATATTTTTTTGTTTTATGCAAACTGATCCAGAAGTAAGACCAAATCCAGGATGTAGGGGTTCAGTGAAAGTTGTTTGTACAGTGTACAGGTGGGTCACTGCATCACGAGAAACATCAAAAAATGATAAAACCCCTGCTGGCCAATCCAGATATATCCCTATGCTGCATGTGTCTGACTTCAGAAACGTTTGACAATAATTATTGTGATAAAAACATCCAGTGGTATTCCATGACCACGCTTTTTCATTTCCTGTCAGAGAAATTTCACTGGAACAGTCTCCCTGCCTAGGAATACTTTTATATGCCACTCCCACATCAGTGTCAGAGCTCATATAACACTCAGCCTCCCAGTAATGACGACCAGTCAGGCCTTCAATACAAAGCACTTGAGGAGCGTCAAATCTGTCTGGATGATCAGGATATGGAAGGTCCTCGTCGCAGTAACTTGCCATTTTGTTATTTTTAGTCAACGTGATAGTAGCTCCTGCTGTATTGGTGTCCAGTGTCAAATCACAGGCATCTGAAATCAATATAGAAATAACTGTTAAGTGCTGCAGATGGTATGTACAGTTCAAACTTTAAGTTTACATACACTATACAAAAAGACATATATGAATTCTTTCACACTGTCTGACATAAAATTAGAATAAACTTTTCCAATGTTAAGTCAATTAGGAATACCAAAATCTCTTTTATTTGCTAAATGTCAAAATAATAACACCGAAAATTTCAAGGCAATTTTCATGACTTTGTTCTGTTAAGATATTAATATTGCTAATTGATAACTGTATTTAAACATTTACTAATATTTGCAACTGCGAACATTTATTAAAAGTGCCACTATGTTCTACTTTAGATTTATCATTACACGATAGAGATGTATGCTTACACTGTCTCAGCAGCTTCAGGTTAACCCAAAATTCTTCATTGTGGTCCACACTGACGACAGACAGAAAACCAGAAACACTGTCAGATATGCAATGTACCCAAGAAAAAAACCCATTATGCCATAAATCAGGGCAACAGTAAGCAAACATACTTGAGGCATTCAAGTCTGCAGTGTGGATCCCTCTGTTTTTCAGATAGCATTTTAGCTCCATGATCTGTCAGGTGATTAAAGCTCAGGTCCAGTTCTCTGAGACAACAGTGGTCTGACATCAGAGCAGATGCAAGAGAGGAACATCCATCCTCTTTCACTTTGCAGAATGATAGCCTAGGAAATGAAAAACAGGTGTTTTAGAAGGTGGAAGCTAATTTCATCACAACAAAATGTTGCGTTGACACGACTAGATGCGATTCTTGAAAAACTGTTTGAGTGGCGGTGGTCACAGGTTCGATTCCCGGCCTGGTAACATTTGCCGCATGTCTTCCCCGTCTCTCATTACTCTCTTTCCTGTCAAACTACTTTCAAATAAAGGCCACCAGAGCCAACAAAACCTTAAAAAAAGAATAACTGTTTGAAATAGCTGTAGTGTATTTTCCCCCATACATATTTCTTCTGTATTTTACCAGAGTTTTTAGTTTAATTTTTCACTAGCCATGTCAATGCCTTCCACTGTAAAAATAAATTAGTTGAACCAACTTAATTGAATTGCTTCAATTGGTAACAAGTACATCAATTAAGTTTAATCTAACTTAATTAATTAAGTTTATCCAACTCAATTTAATATGTTCATCCAACTCAATTCATTAAGTTTATCCATTAAGTTCACAAGAGTGCATTGTAAGAAGTGTACTCTTAAAAATACACTTTTTAGAGAATGTTCTAAAAAGTGTATTTGAAACACTTAAGTTCAATGTTCGCAATTGTGTCATACTTTTGACATCATGATGATCTGTCTAGTCACCAGAGACAGATCATCTACTGACCGTGGTGCTGTGGTGGCACAGGGGTAGAGCACAACTTACATAAGGAAACCAAAGTCCTCGACGTGGACATCACAGGTTTGATTCCAGCTTGATGACCTTTGCTGCATGTCTTCCCCCTCTTATTTATCAAGTTAAACCAACTTAAAAAAAATAAGCTGGATAAACTTAATTGAATTACTTGTTACCAACTGAGGCTATTCAATTAAATTGGTTCAACTATTTTCTTTTTTAGTGTACAGGAGCTTTGAAAAACTACAATAACATGTTATAACACATTTGAGTTGTAATTTAAGTACAATGTGAGTGATAATATAGTTTTGGATATTTTTTTTTTTTTTTTTTTTTTAATTTGGGACAACTTAAAAATTTGAGTCGACTTTCTGTAGCCCTGTGCCGTCACAGCACCATGGTCAGTACATGATCTGTCCCTGGTGAAGGTTTCGTCATGATGTCAGATGTATGATATAATTATGACATTGAATTTAATTGTTTCAAATACACTTTTTAAAACACATACATTCTATGTGTTTTACTGGCTTCTTAGTGCATGATTTGGTGCTAACTCAATGCTATGAATCATACTGGTACCCATTACTAAGGACAAAGCGGGTAAGATTAACTCAGTTTATGCAGCTGTGCTCAGAAATCTTATGCAGAAATGCATGTGCAGGTTATCTTTGTTATGCAACAATATAATTGCAATTTTAGTAAACCCTGCATTGAGCACAGTGAGATCTTCTTCAAGATTGTCGAATCACTGGTGTCATCATTTATTTGTGACTCGGTGAATATGTGTCATGTTTATTTTTATCTTGCTATTTTTTTACTCTTTGTTTTGTTTTTATCTTTTCTCTGTGGACCTTTATTGTGTAGAATTAAGTCAAAGATATTTGAATAATTTATTAGAAAAAAAAATAATGATATGAGTAAGAGAGACCTAAATTTATCATGTTACACACACACACAATGAATTAAGTTATAAAAACTTAATAGATTGACATGGATAAACTTAAAGAATTGAGCTGGATGAACGTAATAAATTGAGTTGGTCAGACGTAGGATACGAAACTGGCAATGAACTCAATTGTTTTCGAGTAAAGTCAAGGTAGAAATGTCCTTAAAGTTAATTAAGTTAATTTAAGTTAGATTTCAATTTTTTAAGTTCTTTGAACACAAAAAAGTAAGTTGTCATCACTAAACCAAATGAATTAAGCGAGATTAATTGAAAGTTCATAAAATCAACTACAGCCAAAAACACTGGAAGTCTGGGTTTCCCTGATTTATCTGCTGCCCCCATGACCTGACCCAACCCCGAAGCAGTGGAAAAAAATAATGAATGGTATTAGATTAATTGGTTCAGCCAAGACCTTTTCTGCTAAAATTATTAGCGATGTGACTCTGAAACCGGATCTAAACATAGATCCTTTTTCCAAGTATAGTCATTTGGTTGGTTGTTCAGGAAGCTGAAACCTCAGCTGATGTGTAGCCATGTATGTTGTCTACATTTAGCTGCACTTTTTTTAATACAAACCTTAGTTTTTCTAAAGTACAGTTTGGTTTCGTCAAAGCCTTACACAGCTTCATTACTCCAGTATCATGTAGGTCATTGTAGCTCAGGTCCAACTCTCTCAAAGGAGAAGGTCTGGAGCTGAGAGCTGAAGCCAGTGTCTCACAGCCTTCTGCGGTCAGCTTGTTGTGACTGATCCTGAATGACAAATACACTTTATCACACAAAGTTATCTTTTAAAAAGGTTTTAGACATCGACTCAACCACATACAGAAAATAACTAATTACAGATCAATTAACAACCTTTAATTGGAAACTGAAACAGTAGAAAGTCAACAAGCAATGTTAGAACAAAAATCTATATGTATGTGTTTTGATAGTTATTTTGATTTTCTTATACCAATATCACAAATAATCTTCCGCTGGGTGCATGTTTACTGCTGTGGTCTCTTTGCACTGCTTAGCAATTAATTAGGAGAGAAATGGACGTGATTTGAAAAGGGAACAATGTTAGAGCTTTTGTTTCATTAAGTATTTAAGGTAAATAGTTGTTTGGGGTCTCGCTGTTTTTTCTTTGATAAAGTACATAATACTTTAAGGGCAGGACAGATGTAGAAAGCCTCTTAGCACATCAACTTTTGCTCTTGTTGTTCTTGTGGTTTGCTATTTTTAGAATGGCAATATTACAGTCTATGTAAACTTAACATAATTTTCCATTATATTACTGGATAGATTCAGTGTTTTCCGGTCCTAAAGGTATAGTAAACCATTTGCCCCACAAACTAAATATCAATATTATCACTTGTATATAAACAATCTGAAAAGTGTGATATGAATATATATTCAGCGCCTTATACCCTAATTGTATCTTAAATGCAACTACTGTTAAAAGTGCTGTGATTTTAAAGTATGAAGTTCAAACTTGGCATAAATAGAGATCATCTGTATCCCAATCCTCTGTCAAAAACTTCAGTGGACCAACAATAAAACAAGTTTGATACAGCTGTTTCAGATGCATCTCAAACTTTCCCAGTAGTTGTTGTCATTGTATGTTAATTGAGCTAAAATCCAGATGCTACATTTATATTAATCACATATCTCAAATTAAAAAAAATTTAAAAGAACACACTGCATTATATAGTGTAATTATGTGCAAACCACCTTACTTATAGATTTTTCATGGCGTCACCATCTTAGCAGATTCAATTGTATTTATCAGATGTATATAAACAGTGTGAATGTGATTGACACTTTGAAATGTGTGTTGTAAGTGTTTAGATATTACCTCAGTGTTTCCAGTATACAGGTATTACTCATCAGTCCAGCTGACAGGACCTCCATTTCTGAGTCTTTGAAATTTGTGTAACTCAGGTCGAGCTCTTGCAGGTTGGAGAAGTGGGATGAGAATGAAGTCGCTATCTCCTTGCAGATCTCAGTAATGTTAGAGTTTTGATTTAGTCTTCGGAGAGAAAACAAGATGATACTGATTTGACACTCAAATTGCTGATGTCATCAATTTCAGCCATTCACATATAATAATTCAAACCAACTGACCAGTCAGTGTTACAATATGTACCAAAAAATGTCTAGGGTGCAGCAGTAAAGTAGAGTTTTAATTGTGACTATATATGATGAAGTGTTCAGCATTTATCCCTCAAAATTGCTGATTTCATTAAAGCCGCCAGACTGATAAACATAAATAATTTTCATAATATTTAGATTTGGGTATAATGCTTTTGTTGTCATATAGATTATATTTACCATATTTTCCGCACTATAGGGCGCACTAGATTATAAGGCGTACTGTTAATGAATGGTTTATTTTCTATCTTTTTTCATGAAGCGCACCGTAATATAATATATACATTAAACAAAACAAAACAGTTAGATAAGTCAAGTCAGTCATAGCACAGTACGTACTTACTGTGCTTACTCCATGACGCTCCTGTCTACGGTAGCTGTAATGCAACTAAAACATTTCGACAGAGCGCCGTGTACAACACTTTGAAAAAAATCACTTTGAGGTCAGTGAGCACAATCAGAATTAATCCATATTAATTCACTAGAAGGGACTGTTTTACCTCAGATATATATATCGCTCCAGATTATAAGGCGCACTGTCTTTTTGATAAAATTAAAAGTTTTTGTGTGCGCCCTTTAGTCCGGAAAATACGGTAAGCAATTTCTCTTCTCCCTTAGGTTTCACAGTGACCTAAAAGACTCATTTGTACAACCAGGTTGTAGGTAGGGAGAAATTAAAAAGGGTTTGATCTGGGAATTTGGACAAGGTAGATTTTTATTTTCATTAAAAAGTTGACTTTCTCTATGGAAAACAATTAAGTGAACAGGTGTGAATAATTAAGATTTCAACTATTTTTTTCTGTTACTATGTTTTCGATATTTAAATTTGCTTCATCTGAAACATTTAGGCATCTCATAAAACACTATATGTATATCACTATTGGATTAGATTTTATGTTTGTTTTTGTTTTTTTAACTGGAACTTCTCAAAATCAATGAAGAACATTTTATTTCAGGTTTAATCTTCAGCAACAGATGAAGCCCGACATAGACCTGAGCTTCTCCAGCTTTCTGCAACGTAGTCCATCAGCGATCACAGTGAGTAAGGAGTCCATCAGTATGTTTTCACTCAACTCCAACTCCCTTAGATTCGAGATCATTGGTTTTAAAGCTGATGCCAGATTTTTGGGTGACTCCTCTGATAGTCCAATCCCTGAGAGGCTGCAAACACAAATATCTTCCATGAATCGGTACAGAATTTTTGCATGCATTAATGTAAGTAAAATGATTGTGACCATCACCATAAGACAGCACTACTTTTTGATTAAAATGTAATTGAAACATATTATTTTAGACTTCTTTTTCATTTTTAAAACAAGTTGTGGTTTCACAAGACAGCAAATCACAAAAATTAGCATTTTTAACGGGGTAAAAGAAAAACCTAATTCATCCATCTATCCATCAATCCATTTTTTAACTAATTATTTTCACAACATGGTTCTAATTACCTGGTAGTAATATGCACAATGCATTTATGTTCACTATTTTGTATTTGCAATTTAATAAAAATAAATCAGCTCACAACTAATGTGTCCCAATCTCTTTTTCATTGGCCGAAGGAACACACATTTGCAGTTGGGTTGATGATCAGTTCACACATTTCGACTGGATCCAGATCCACCATAAAAAAGTTTCAGAGATGTTTGATTGACAGGTTACTTCAGTTTTCCTCACATACTTGCAGACACCAATGTGTACTCTGTCACAGTAACATATTTCTTTTGCCTACTCCCCTTGCAGACTGGCCACAACTATTACAGACTGAAGCTAGCTTTTCTCGACTTGAAATAGGGCAGGAGTCACCAACACGGTGCCCGCGGGTACCTGGTCACCCAAGAGGACATTGTCAGTCACTCAGAGCAAGTTATAAAAATAGCAATTGTCATCAGGGAACACTGTCAAAAATATATTTAATTAAATGATTTTACATTGAAGTAATATTTGTTTGCATGTAGAATTTATATAGAATTAAGTTACACAAACGTTTAAAATAAATTGGTTTATGTATAAAACATAGCAATTTTTTCTAGGGTTAAAGTTCAGAACTATGCGCAAATGCAGGGGGGGATCAGGATATTATCAGAGGGCTGTAGAGCCTGCAACTGTACGAGTGTACCCATTCGGCATACCTTGAGATTTTTTTTTGAAAAAAGAAAAGAATAGTTTTGGGGATTTTTTTAATTATCTAACCCTCTTTAGTATTAACAAAATTGTGGAAAAAATAAAAAGTCCTTTTGTGTTAGATCGTCTTGTACATAGCTCACATCTGCGTGAGTCTGTGGGAGTGGGCACATCCAAAGCCTAAATGTTACTGGTTGGTTTAATTTTGTGTATTTGGCAGCTTGGCACTTTTTCTGTAAGCTAAAGATGAATGAACAAAGTTTGAACCCTCAAGTAGTTGTAAGAGCGTTCATGCGGACACCGCCTGAGCTTTTTACCGAGTGCACAGTTCTGGTGGGTCGCTGGCTTATGGGAGTTTTTTGTGGTTTCACAAATTGAAGAGCTGACAGATCACCCGGTTGAACAACCATGATATCTGCCTCTCTTCTTTACCGTTGTGTTAAGACTGCACTGCTGAAACAATCCATACTCTCAGTCACACTTAGAGCTTCAAAAGGGAATCAAACTTGAAACTCTGTGAACTAAGAATTTCTGATCCCATAATGATTAACCATATCTGCCATGGTAAATCATTACTGATAACTGTTATGAGTAGTCCTGAACATTAATATGAACAGACTGCATGTAATCATAAATATGTAAATGACTTATTGTCATAAAGGTTGAGCCAAGAAAATTTATGTCTGTATCAAACAAGTAGCCCTTTGTGTTACTGTGTACCCATGAAGTAGCTCCCACGCTCAAAAAGGTTGGTGACTAAAATTGGGCAAAAAAAATTTGTGTACTGTGGCCCCAGAATAAGTTTTGGGCTTTAGTTCACAACCAGAAAAAAGTGTAGTGTTCTTTCCAGGTCTGGGATCAATGTTTGGCTCAAGTAAAGGAGCACAATTTTATATCATTTAAGAGTAAAGGAAAGATCAATTTGGAGATGCATAAATATATTGGGGCCTTATTTGTAGTTAGTCAGCATAAGGGTACTACTTTGTACTTTGGTCAGTTGTGTTTAAGAAAGAGCTAAGCCTAAAAGCAAAGTTCACAATTGATCAGTTTATATGCATTTGAAGAGGGATGTGGGTCTTCCTCCTTGAGAAATTTTCTACATCTCCATAAGCAGAAAATAACATAGATGAATAGATGAGTTTTGTAATACTCCCCAATCTCAAGCAACATTATTCAACTAGTAAAGGTAAAAAAGTAATGACAAAAATGGATAACAGGGAGTGGTACTCCTGTGAAACTGCAGAGGTTAATACATTTATTCAATTACTTGCATAATTTTAGATAAAACAAACAAAAAAATATTAGTCACACTCACCTGAGACTGAAAGCCTCTAGTTTGCACTCTGCATTTTTCAGTCCTTCAATGAAGATTTCAAATGCATTACCCCCAAGTCTATTTTTTGTCAGATCTAGTTCAGTCAGAGGAGATTGAGGACTCCGCAAAGCAGATGAGATCACTTCACACAGAGCAGGTTTGAGGAAAACACCTGAGATTCTGAAGAAAATAAGAGTCAGTGTGTTAGGATAAGATTTTTAAGTGATTGTGTACAGGGTTTCCCCCAGAAAACTTGTTAAGCAACGATGGTTGGGGCGCCGAGACGGTCTACTGGCGGTTCATTGTGTTTTTGTATTAAAAGATGCTAAGTTGACAAGAAATGTAAAAATATTACTGGGTAAAATATGTTACGGGAAGATATTGCCAGTGAAATGCTATTTAAATCCACAACTAGTGAGTTACTGGGAGTTTATTCTTTTAGCTTGAGCTCTGTTTGTTCACAAACACAAATTAGTAAACTGCAATTATTTAATTAAAACATATTGCTTTGTAGGTTGGCCAATTAAACTACCCTCTCCCTAATTTCACTAAATCTAACACAGAAGCTGTTACAGGGGGGATGTTTTTAGAAGCAAGAGGGGCTCCTAAGTCAAATTCTGCTCAAGGCCCCATACAACCTTTAACCGACCTTGCAGGATGAGTTAAAGTGCAGAGATGCACAACAAACTGGAGATTGAATTTAAAGCTGCTGATGTGGCTTTAGTAGGTCTTCCATTTCGTGTCTGTTGAGTTTTCAGCAATCTCAAGCTTTATGGGATGAGTTTTTCTGATATCCTCGCGGCCATGCGAATTACGTCTGGCTGATTAAGTGGACAAAGCATTTCATATGATTTTGTAATCGGAAAATTAATACTAAAATTAATAATAATTAAATAAAATAAAAGTAGCATGATGCCTGACTACGAGGCAAGCGCAAAGGGTTGAACCTGCATGATGAGTGATTAGCGCTGGTTTGTTAAACCCGAACACACCGACCAATCGGGACCACATACATAAACTTTACAGGGAAGACAGAGCCACACACTGGGAGGCATGTTGACATGTAAATGCAGCACATGATTCTTTGTTCACAAAGATAAATCATTGTCACCGCTCTTCACAGGCTCCTCTAAAAGCACGACCACGGGTTATATCGTAAAGTTTCAGAAGCAGAGCTCAGTGGATTTTAAGTTTGATTCCTACCTTGATCAAAAACTCTGGAAATAAACACAATTCCTCACAGGGGATTGATGTAAATATACATACAGGTCAGCCTGTGTCCAGTTTGAGTGAAAGGAGGTGCTAACCTGCTTATAATACACTTATAATACACCGGAGGAAGCCACGTGTGTCAAATCTCCGCAATTTTATCTTAATTTTATTAAGACTTATGACACAATAATTCAAGCTTTGTTTAAATTACTTACTCCTCATTTCAATGACAATATATTTATACTTGTGTGTTAATGCATGTACATGACCGCTTTACATTGTAAACTCACCTGGCTTTTCTGCAGTTTCTCACAGCTGGGATAATCCTGAAACTGGCCTTTTCTTTTGTTGTGTATTTCGTCAGGTCAAATTCCTCTATTGGTGTAGTTGACATTAGCATTAAGTCAGCCAAAGCTGAACACTGAACAGGGGTGAGCTCTGTTTCTGGATATTGATGTGGATTCAGAAACTTTCTCACACTGTCATACAGCGAATCATCTTTCAGTTCAGCCAAACAGTGAACCAGATTCAGACATCTGTCTGGAGAGCAGTCACATAAATCTATTTCTTCTAGACATGTCCTGATAGTCTCTGCAACTTCAGAGTGTTTCTCTGTTTGCTGAATGAGGCCTTGAAGCTGATTTTGTGTCGACTCTAAGGACATGCCAATGAGGAACCTAAGAAACATGTCCAGTTCTCCTGTCTTTCTCAAAGTTGAGTTTGCTATAGCAATTTCCAATAGCTCATCTAAAGGCAGATCAACTGGGTGAACATCCAAGATTGTCTTCAGCTCTTCCTCAGATCCTATCAGAAGGAAATCTTTGAGGCTTTGAGAATCGATTGTTTTACTTGCAAAGCTTCTGTACACAAAGAGAGCAGCAAAGTTCTCCTGAAGTGTCAAATGCACAAAGCAGTAAAGCTTCTTTGAGAAAATGACATTATCTTCTTTGAATATTGCGGTACACACACCACAGCAGACTCCAGCTTTCTCTATGTCAATGTCATAACTTTTCAGGTCTTCTTTACTGAATATGATTTCTCCTTTGTTCAGTTTTTCAAATGCCATCCAGCCCAGCTTGAAAATGAACTCTTCATTCAATTTGAATAGTTCGGAGATATCTAGCTCGTTCTCCTTGCCTGCATTTGACCTGTCGTCCTCAACAACATCTAGTTTATCTTCTTGGCCATATTTCTCAGCAGCTCTCTTCATTTGAGTACAGAAGAAGAGTGTGTACATTTCCATTAGAGTTGTGGGTATGTTTGTCTTTTTCTCTGGGATGCTGCTATTTTTTAAAAGCAAGTACTCAAGAACCTCTGAGGCAATCCAACAGAAGATGGGTATGTGACACATGATAAATAAGCTTCGCGAGTTCTTAATATGATCAATAATCTGTTCAGCAACCATTTTGTTCTGAACTCTGTTCCTGAAGTACAGTATTTTCTGTGGATCATTGAAACCTTTGATTTCTGTCCATTGATGGACATATTCTTTGGGGATGCGCTGAACGGCTCCTGGTCTTGAAGTTATCCAGACGAGTGCAGAGGGCAGAAGATGTTCCCTAATCAGATTGGTCACCAGGATGTCTACGGATGATTCCTTTGTTGGATCTGTCAATCTTTTCGTTTTTAGGAAGTTCAGTTTAAGCTGACTTTCATCAAGGCCATCAAAAATGAACAAAACCTTGTGCTTTTCAAATATTTTATTGACTGCTGTGTTCTTGAGTTCAGGATGGAATTCCTTAACAAGAGTCTCAAGGCTGAACTCATCATCTTTGACCAAATTAAGCTCCCTGAATGGAATCATGAAGATGAAGTCCAGGTCTGGATTCGCTTTCCCGTCTGCCCAGTCAAGAATGAACTTTTTTACAGACACAGTTTTACCGATTCCAGCAATTCCCTTGGTCATCACTGTTCTAATGGCTCTCATTTCTGGTGCGCTTTGAAAGATATCATCGCAGTTTATCTTAATTCCTTCTGTTGCTTGAGTTCTAAACTTGTCTTCAATTTGCCAAATCTCATGTTGCTTATTGACATGTTCATTTTCTCCTTGAACAATGTGAAGCTCTGTGTAGATTTGGTATAATGACTGAGTTTTGTTGTTATCTTCAGTGCCTTCACGCTCCCATCTACATTTTTTTCTCAAGGAGTCTTTGTTATTTTTGATAATATCTCTAATTGTATCATCATCTGTAGAAACAGAAATATACAGTTTATTATATTTAGTTTACTTTGTATCTATTTATACAGTTTAGATTTTCTACAGTTCTATATTTTCTACAGTTTATGTTTTTCTAATATAACTTTATCATACAAGTTTTACACAAAGCATTTGTATCAATCAATAAATCAATAAATCAACAAACGTTTATTTGTATATCTTATTTCAGCAACAAGGTAGTTCAAACTGTGTTAAAAAGTGATTTTTGTAAGTCAGGTAAATAATGAAACTTTTCCACTGTCTTAGCGACATGATTTGCCAATGAAATAATCTTAAAATTTCAATAACTATCTTTATGAAGAAAAAAAAACTCATGAGAAATTAAGACTTTTCTTACTTTGACATATTTCAGGTTGAGTTTCTCTGAGGATTTCATAGAAAGCAGCTTTTGCCTTCACAGAATTCAGTGCTCCTAAGAGTTCTCTCATCTGATCCTGGCTCTTACTGGTGGTCCTGATTTGGTCGTACATCTCTTTATGGAGCATGTTCCTCTTGTGCAGCTGGTCAGCTATGGGCATCACTGATTGGATGCTCTGGATAAGTTCCGGTCTGTTGCTCCAAACCCAGTTTGCTTCTTTTTAAATAAAGTCAAATAAATTAGACTGAATAAAATCCACCATAATACACATAATTGTTACCTTACAAGTATGTGTACATCAGTCTTTTGTTTTGACACAGAATAAATTCCACTAGACAAACCACTTAAGTAAATACAAAGTGCAGTTTGGAGATGATAATTTTTACCTTTCTTAATTTAGAAAACACTATCCATAAAAACTTGGCCCTAGATGAAAGGTAATATGAGTGAGACTGAGGCTTCCGTACACTCTACCCCTGCACCACTGCCACATCCCTGCTATTTAGAACTTGCGCCAGCGCATATTAAATCACGAAAACATTCCACCACCTAAAGATGTATAAATTAAAACCATCTGTGCTAAATATTGTTTCAGCTGTTTATTTAACAGAACATAGAGGCCTCTTAGAACTGCATAAATTGTGATACAAAGCTAAAGTTGGCTTCAGAATTAAGCTTCCAACTCGAGAAATGGCTAAAGAACGATTCCACTTGATTTTCTGCTACACTCAACTTGTGTGTTTCAATTGTCATTCAGAGCCCTGCCTGCTTAATCTCATTAGGGAAACATTTGACTGCATGGATCAAAACCAAGTAGCTTACTCTCATATTATAATGTAACCAAAAAACTAATTGAAGTTAAAAGGTTGTAGGAGTGGCCACAAATACAGAAAGTAGTTCGAGGAGCATAGGTAATTTCCATGTATTCCAATGAACAATTTAACATTTAGATTTAACAATAAATTTAGAAATAGAAGTAAAACAAGCTGTAAGGTTATATCTTAAAAACCAGAAATATGAATACATTGAATCTGTGCCAAGAAACGTAAGAAATTCATAAAAGCTAAATATTTTCCAGTTACACTGACTACACAGAGACAAATGTCCCTCTATAGCTTGATAAAATGCTATGCTTTTAAAGAACACTTTAAAATGTGTTTCACCAAACTTTTAAAAGTGTATGATCTACCACACTTTTCAGATTCATGGCCTGGCAGATATTTCTGCACATATGGTCTGGAAGGTATTTCTGCCAGACCTGATCCATCACTGATATTGTCTATTCCTTATCATTCACCTCATTCCTACCCAAAAAGGACATTTTTCAAGTTATCTTTGTTTCACATTAAAACTGATCTCGAGATCTGAACCACTTAAGTGCAACTAAAAAGCAAAAACAGAACAAATTTGTAAAAAGAGAAATATGTTAAAATAGGACTGTAAGTACGTAATATTTTATCCATCTCAGAGCAGTAGACAAACCATCTTCTGTTTAGATTTTTACATTCAACAACTGTCATCAGCAATAATTTCTTAAAGCTCTGACTTAAACTTACTTTGTTCCTCTTCCGTGATTGACATAGGTTCAGATGAGCTATCAAAAGACAAAAGAAATAGTTCAAAATTACAATTTCTTCCTGCTCCAAGTATCATTGCATTTGTTCATTTGGCTAATCTTGTCTTATAAGTCAATAATCTCCTGTGACATGCTTTAAGTAAGTCATACCAACCTTGATGTTACTTCCGTAGTTGTGTTTTCCAAGTCATTCTTTGCACAATAGTTGCTGCTTTCAAGATAAACATCTTGTGCTTGTCTGCATGATGTTTCCTTCCCTGATGTCTTCTTCTCATCTTTTACCTCCTCCTGAAAAGATGGCTCTCTTTGCATGAGAGGGGAATCTTCTCCACTTATAACTCCATTAGATTCTTCATCTTTGGGCTGATCAGATGAATGAATTCCTTGTCCCGTGTCTGTACTCCTTCGGAGGGCAGAACACTTGTTCCCCATGTTTTATTTTCTTCTATATCAGCTGTGAAAACATACATTTAAAAACAAACAAAACCAAGCAAACCAAAACAGTAAAATACATAATTGCATGTATTATTATTTATGTTGCAGGATTTAGAAAACCTAATCTAGCTTATTAAAGTACAAGTTTCACATAAAAGTGAAAGCAGTTCATTTTTTTAATTCAAATTGTTGAAAAATAAATATCATAAATTATATAATAATTTAATAGAAATGTTTCAGTAATGTCAAAAATGTAAATGTGACTGAATGCAAATGTAACTTTTATTCTATTTTTGTTTTCTCTGAAACAACTTTCACTCTGAGATATCTCTGCCAAACAAATCCTCAAGAGAACGTGTCACAAATAAAGACACAAATAAGAGTCAAAACTTACTTACCTTATTGTTAAATGTCCTCATCAAAAATCAACATGATTTTTCAGTCTCTATATCACATCAGAATACAATGAAATAGTAATCTGCTCTGCTAACACACTAAGTAGTGTTAAGTCAGTGGATCTGTACTCACACCTACAACATACTTCCAATCTGTGTGTGCGTGAATGTGAGACTGCATGGGTGTGGGTGTGCATAGGTGTGTGTGTGTGTGTGTGCGTGTGTGTGTGTGTGGTGTGTGCGTGATTACATGGAAACCAAGACTGTTTTTCAGGTCTTAACAAGATCTCTTCCTGCATATGCTCTGCCAAAACCGGTTTTAACAAAACCTTTGCTGATGAGGACCTGAAAGACAGCTCACATTAATCTGATCCCTACTCTAACTTCTCGAGTCTTTCTGGATAGATTGTAAGATTATAAACAATAAAACAATACAGCTTTAAATGGTCATTGTCCGAACCTTAAGTTATTTGATTTGTTGTGTTAAGAACACAGAAACTAAACTTGAAAATTCATCACTTATGATGCATTATTGGATTCACAGAAATATCACTATTCTGAGTGGCATAGGCCTTAATCATGACATCAATTAAAAATAATATTTCGTTGTACAGACTAACCTCTTGAGATTGTGAAACTGTTATGAAAAGCAACTTATTCAGATGTAAGTGGGTGTCAGTATAGTCTTTACGGTGTACACAATCAAAAGACATTGGGTTGTTGATGCCACAACATTTAATTAAAGATCTGCAACGCAAAATAGCTCAGTTAGTACAGTGTTTCTCAAACTGTGGTCCCGGGATCACTGGTGGTCCACTGGCGCCACCTATTGGTCCGCAAGGTACTGCATGTAAACAACCAGTTCTATTATATCACTAAATGACAAAACTATAATACCAGGATAAGCTAGTTTATATTTCAACAGCAGGTCACAACAAAGTGGAACACAAAGTTTCACAGAAGCCAAAAACAATTATGTCTGAACAGCTTAAACAGACTTACAAAAAGCAAATTCGTTCCATATAATTTTATTTGATACAGTTGATTTCTTACTAAAGATTACTCAGGTAATTACCAAATTCTTTATTATTAATATTTCACAATAATTATGAGTTATATACAGAAACTACCAGGATGGATGCTTTTTTTTCAGAGCTGGGAAACATTGAGTGACTTGGGGATCTAAGAGAGAATAATGCTAAAACAAAAGGTACAATCTTTAAAAAAAAAAAAAAAAAAGAGACAACAGGAAAGTTGCAAAAATCCATGGTTTTGTCCATCGCTTTAACCATCAGTAATAGAAAGTTCAACATTCTCACTTAAAGGGGAAGTAAGAGTTCGAGATGTAACTGTTTTTTCATAATAACACTTGTAATTTCCCCCATGATTAGAGTTGACTTCAAGAAATCTGAATGTGGAAGAGTTGGTGCTTGATGACTGGGTCTTAATGTTTTGATGAGAATCTGGTTGGTGTTTCTGGAGAATGAACAACCCATTTAAAAACGGGGTTGAGATGGAACAGGTGATGGCAACAAGCTGACCCCAAGTAATCACACCAGCTGGATCCATGGAGATGGTGGGTTGCAGAAGGACTACTGTAAAACAAAATAAATAGTACGCTTACCGCCTTACTAATCCAATCAATTTCAATAATGATTTATAGTAAAAAATATATATACCTTTTGAATATAGCTGAACAGTGTCGCTAAGGTCTGTGCTGAAGTTCTCATTAGCAACCCTTGTGTGAAACTGACACTGATAGTTTCCCTCATGCTCAAAACCAATTTGAGGGATGTAAAATGTTCCAGAGTTGCTGTTCGACTCTACGGTCTGACCAAAACCATCCGAGGTCCGATTGAAGATGAATGTTCCCCCTACTTGTCCATCGGGGACCAAACAAGTGATGCGGAGATTCTGACCAAAGCTAATGTCACTTTGAGGATTTGTGATCGTGGGTTTTATTAGGCCTGGGGAAAAATGTGTAGCACAAGAATTGCTTTACATACTGAAAACAAGGACTTGTATCTTGCACTATTTAAATGAGTTTGTATGGATTGGAAATTTGTTTTAAATTACTATGCTTACTTACCCGAACAGATGACACCAAGATCCTCACTGTGTGCGCAGTCCTGTCTCACAGATCCAGTCTGCAAACACTCCGAGAAATGTCTTTCACTTCCTGTACAGGTCACATCATCCAGCCAGATTTCCCCTGCTCCCTCTCCAAAGTGAAGGAGACCCAGTGCTGTACCACAACCCAGCTGTCTGCATAATACTCTGCCGTCGTTTAAGTCTTTGCTCACATTGCAGACTGTTCCCCAGGATCCATTGTTGTAGATTTCAGCTCTTCCAGAGCACCTGTTGGGTCCGACTAATCTTATAGCAGCTAAACAACAGAGAACATAATTATGTGGGATATTTAAAAGCTGGAAACAGCAAATACTTGGAAAATGTGCAATTACTTATGTTAATCACAAAAAGGGCTTATGTGGCGGGTGCAGTGTGATAATTGGGAACTTAAGTTTAAAAACACTATTTTAATAATTGGTTGCAACAACTCCACTAAAAAGTTACCTTAAAGGCACACAGACCCGCTACAGATGAGGCTTGAGACAATCTCACAATGTAACAATTTTTATTTATTCCACAGTTGTTTGTTTAATCAAAAATACTAGTCTAAAACCACTCACACATTAAAAGTCAGTGTTAGCGCAACTCAGGGACGGAAGTGCAATTTGGGGTAGTGTCCTACAAGAAAAGAAACACAGCAAACGAAACAAGGCAAAACAAAAGAAAATCGTGCACCAAACCAAAAGGAGGACCACCACCCGGAAAGTCTACCACCAACACCATGAGCTGGCCGTTCCTGTCAAAAAACAAAGAAGAGACATTCAAATTACAAACAATACAATTATACAGTTCAGCCCACAATCAAGCAGCAATAGTCCAAATTAAGAGTCTGTCCGGGGAGAAACCGATCTGCTGTAGCAGACGCCACTCAGAGCGGCAGTAGAAAGATAGTCCGAGCTGATCACCAATCAGCCCAAATCAGCCACACTGGACGAGTGGTAGGAGCCAGCTTTACGCCGACCAGGACGGCGGGCATGAAGCCAGCAACCAGGACGACAAGTAGGCAGCCGACAGATTATCCAGTTGACAGGCGGACCGTCGGTCGGGGACAACCAGAACAGCGGGCAAACAGCCGGCCAAGGACAAACAGCCAGCCAAGGACAAACAGCAGCGGCTATCAAAAATAAATGTTAGAAATGGAATCTAAAAGCATCCAAACTCCAGCACTTCACCTACCACTGAGCTCTTTATGTAGTGCCTCTAAAAGGAAGGAGGAAACGTAGAGCTTGTACAGGCGGCGGCGATCAGAGCGTCGTTAAGCGCATCGTTTGCGCGCACGCATTAATTTGCAGCTGTTATACAGAAAATGTAAATAAATCACAAGTAATAAGTTTGCTTGAGAGAGGTGAAGCCTGCCTTACCTAGCGTGCAGCACCAACAAACACCGAGGTCTGAACCGGAAGGAAAACAACGTCATGTCAGCCAGGTGAGGGAGGATCCTTTATATACAGGCAGCCAGCGCCACAACAATTAGATTCAGGCACTTGTGTGGTGCGTTCAAAGGCCACAGGGCATACTGCCACACTTATAAAATGAGAAGTAGATTAAAGAAGTCTAATCATTTACCGCTATTTTATTTTTTTTAATTTATTTACATTCTGACAATAATACTTAAACAAGCCAGGAAGGAGTGTTTGATCCTTCCATTTGATCAAAAAGTCTTATTATGCAGGAATATTTTCCTTTTTCCAAGAATGCCTTCATAAAACATCAGAAATGTCAACTTCTTCCCAGCTCAGCACTGGATAAAAAACCCTTGGGAACTTGCTGAAAAGAAGTCTTTGAATGGTCTTTTTAAAAATTGGCTAACCACAACTCTAAGTCAATACTTATCTTACTATATTTAAAAAGAAACTAGAATTGGACAAAATGTATAATAGTTTCAGCCAAAAACTGTGGTCTGTGGATGTCTAAAGCAAGGCAAAAATAACAATTGAGAGCATGTCCTTACCTGAACAGATGACACCTGCATCCTGACTGTGGCTGCGGCTGTATGCTTGAAATCCACTAAATGGACATTCAGTTAGGTACGTTTCCCTCCCTGTACAGCTCACATTATCAACCCAGATGTTATCCATTCCTTTTCCAAAGTAGGCAGCGTGAGGAGCAGCCACCGCTGTACCACAACCCAACTGTCTGCAGACCACCTGGGCATCATTCATGTCCCAGCCATTATCGCACACCGTTCCCCACGCATCACTGTAGTAAATTTCAACTCTTCCAGAGCACCGGGACGGCCCGATTAATCGTACTGGGTGACCTGTCAGCCATAAATTCTAATGTAGATTATCAATAAATTAAGCTGAACAAAATAAGCTGAAAGTGCTCTCATAACTAAATACTCAATCATGCATTTAGTTTCACCTGCACACCGAACACCAGAATATCTTCCAGAGCTGGTTACCACAGAACCGCTTCGACACTCTGCTAGAGAACTTTCACTTCCAGAGCACGTCATTTTATAAAGAGAGATGTTGGAGTTGGAGTTGTAGCTATAGATCGATGATGCTGGGCCACAACCCAGCTGTCTGCAGGCCACATTAGCAGCATCCATGTTGAAGTTATTATTATCAATCAGCCTCCAGGCGCCGTCATGATATATTTGAACATTTCCATTGCATGACCCATATGGTAGGATTTTATGATCTTAAGAAAAAAAAGTTACATAAGAAAAATAGTGATCATTTCATTTACAACAAAAACATCAGCAGCAGAATCTACAGCCATATTTTAGGATATTCTTTTTAGGATATCCATCTCGTGATCTTTCAAAGTAAATATAAACTGTTAAAGAGGAAGAAAAATACAATTTGGGACTATTACTATAGGAAATGTAAATGTTTTGGCTCAAAGTTGCTTGAAAATGCAACCACAACAACCTTGCTGTGTTTTTTTCCCTAAACATCTCTTAGTATTTGAATGTCTCATCATCATCATGTTTTTAGAGTTACAAACAGTGGAAAGAATGTTTTAACAGGATTTCAACAAAGTCTGAAAATTCTAATAAATAAACAAATGAAAATACTCCCAAACTGAATTCTCCTGCTGTATCATAGAATAATAGGGGGTAATTCATAAGAGCACAGCGTTTTAAATTATTGGTATGTTTATCTAAAAAAAACAAAAAAACTTTCCTTACATGAACAAATGACACCAACATCCTCATAGTGTTCACAGTTGTGTGTTCCAAATCCCCGGTGCGAACATGTGGAGAGAGACGTTTCGCTTCCTGAACATTTCACATCGTCCATCCAGATCGGTCCAGTGCCTGGACCAAAGTAGCCTGGTGGAGGAATGTCTGACTGCTCACCACAACCCAACTGTCTGCAAACAACTTGTGCCTCACTTCTGTCCCATCTATCGTCACAGACCGTTCCCCAGGCACCATTGTGGTAGATTTCGACTCTTCCAGAGCAATACCCGTCTGAACCAGCTAATCTGATCAAATCCTCTAAGGAAACCACAGAAATGTGAGTGTTAAGCAAAGAACAGACATGAGCACAAACACACTAAAACAATTCAGTAGATGGCACAGAAGCTGCACTCACCTGCTCCAGTTATGGTTAAGAGTAAGAAAGTAGAGACTGAGAAGGGGAAAAAATAAGTCTAGTTACAGTAGCATGTGAGAGAAGTATTCGTTAATAAAACTGTCGCAACACATAGCTAAAAATAAACTATATAAATTGAAGTCATAACTAAATAAATAATGTAATTGATGGCAACAAAGTAATAAATTAAGCTTTGATATGAAATGGTGAAACATTAGCACTTGCTGCTTCAGCATAACACTTAACATGCAACTCTATATATGAGTTTAGGTATGAAATTACTAAAATACAGCGACTTTGCAATGGTCCTGAAGTTTCTTGAGATGCATTCTCTAGGCTGTTGGTTAAATTATGACCTCTGACATCCACAGAAGTCAATATTCTTAAAAAAAAACAAAAAAAAAACATTGCTTTTTTTATTTAAAACCTCCCCCATAATTTCTAATGAAATATGTTCTTGCTGCAGTGAACTTTCATATTATATTCGTAACAGAATAGAATATATTTTAAGCAAAATTCCTCACTAATGCCTGGTGGAAAAATAATATTTGTACATTTATGTACCTAGTTTGCTGAAAATCAATTTCTTAACTGTAAACGAGATTAAAAAAATATTTCTTTGTCACTTAGTAAGTCAGAGTCTTATGTTTTTTTAACTGTCACACACTCCAACTACTGTTAATGCATTGAATTTAAACTTTACTTGCTATAAGAAACATATAAAACACAATCATAAGAGTTTAAAGACAATCCCTACTACTTCGTCTGCTCACCTAAAACCAGTCCAAATAGATTGTCAACCATCCTGTTGAATTTGCAGGAGCTATAAACACTTGATAGAATAACAACAAGACAGACCAAATGTGAAATTGTCTGCTTGTCATCAGAGCTCTTTATATACGAAATTTCCTTGGTACGAATGCATATGTAGGCAAAACAAGGCTGAATTTCATAAGACGAGTTCACAACTTCACACTATGGTTCTTGTAGCCTGTATTTAGAAACCCAAAAAAGGATCATATGAACATCTGATCATGTAAATATGAGCCTACTGAGAAATGAATTGGCGCCTTCATTTTATTTAAATACTAATAAAATGAAGGTGCCAATAAAAGGAATGTTTTTGCACCCACCAATAGACTTCTGAATAGAAAACACAGTTAACTGAGCTCCCATTCATAAAATTAAAAAAAAACATAAATATAGATAATTTTTTCTGAAAATGTTTATAAATATTACCTCTCTGTATTACATTATGTTTCTGCTGTATAATTGTAAGGGAGCTAATCCTGCACATAGAACATTTGACCCAACATGATTACATCATCTTCTTACATGTACATTTGTCCTGGACTTGTCCTGAAATGAATGAGTGTTTTCATTGTATTTGAATAATCTAATATTTTCAGAGCCAGGAATAGCTGTTGGTTTTCTGCAGTTCATGGAGTCAGATATCAACTTACAAAAGCAACATAAAAAGAGAATACACACATATATAATCTAAATTAACAGCATAAATCCCAATTTTGTACAATGAGAGGAAAATTGGGACAATAATCAAAGACATAATTTATGACAATTTCATAGTTGTTGACCCCTGACTTAGAGGAAATGTGTGGTAGTCGATAGGTTTTTTTTATAACTAAAGCCTTTAAGATGTGTCCAGTAGGAACAGTTTGTCACACACACACAACAGCTGAAAAATGATAAACAGTCCTGAACAGTGTGATTGTTTTAATCTCCATCTCAGAACATAAATGTTGGAAAATATTTAACTTAACTTTTTCAAATAACATCTTAAAAAAAAAAAGGCTTTGATGAGAACATTGTTTTACCTTGACTGCAGAAAACAGTTAAGGTGCTATGTTTCAGATATGTTTGTGATGTGGACCCCTGGAATAATAGTCTCTGCCATGGAAGAGGCTAATTGGGATCCTTAAATAAACTAAACTGTACACACCGAAGGTATGGAGCAAAGAAAAACAAAGCTTATGTGGAAACCTCACACAAAAATTAGACAAACATACAGACATAAACATTCATTTGGTCTGAATCAGACATCACAATAAATTCTAGAGATCTCAGTGCTTCACAAGACAATAGTATATCAGGACAAGAAGGCCATCTGAAAGTGGGTGCCTGCCTAATTTAGTCTTTATATGCAGAATATAAAATTATAGCTGATCTGAGACTATAGGTTGTTACAAGGCAGAGAGCAGAAAAAGAAAACAACAGGGAAAACATCATCAAGGAATCTTGAGCTGCATGAATATTAAATCACATTAAATCACAGAGCATGTTCCCTGGTTACTATTTATTCATCCTTTATTATTTTATAAATGTAATTTTGGGCTTGGAAGGAAACTTTAAAAGGCAGGCACATTGATCTAAGCATTCTGAAAAAAAACATTAGTAAAGAAACATAGTTATGCTGTAAAAAAAAAAAAAGCATCATAAAACCCATATTTTGCTTCTCTTCGCCGAGCTTATCAGGGATTTGATGTTTGCTGTAATGTTCTTTTAGTCATTTGATCCTCTCCATGTAGATTTTTAATACTGAAACATAAGTAAATGCATGAATGTATCTATTTTAGTGTGGAACTTTGCTGCATTTTGCACATTTAATAAATGTTTAAAATTAAGTTGCAGGGGTTAGTTTAAGACCAACTCTGAAACTCTCCTTTGCACTGGGACAACTAAAGGGCCAGTAAACATCACATTAAGTTGGAGTGTATTCTAAAGCTGCCAGGTTACATGATTTCAACCAATGCAAATGTGATATTCCTGTTGCTGAAACTGATTCTAACTTCTTAGAGGACAAAAGGTCAGTAGAGGAAATATTAATGGCACAGCAAAGAAGTTATTTGTAATGATTAGCCTCTTGAATATCACTAATGTGTGTTCAGTTTCTGAAAAGATCTCACTCCAACCCTGTCTCCACACATTGTGCTGAGATGTTTTGATTACACATCTAAAATAACAAGAAAATAAATTTTCTTATGTACGCCCAGGTAAAAACCAGTGTGGTACAATCAAAATATAAAATCAAAATAAAATTCTGTTGTTTTGGCTTGTCCACTCTAACCACTAGATGGCAGTATAGACTGCCTCTCACATGTCTTACAAAATCGGGGAGAAGAACAAAATGTTAGAGTTGCGTTTATCTAACGCTGCTGTATGTACAGCTTCTACTGTATGCTGCCTTTTTAAAGAATAAAGTGAACTAGGTTTTTCTTAAGTCAAAGGTTTTAACATTTGGAATGCACAGGTTAAACAAGTTAATGAATAAACTACTGAAGCATTGTTTAGATATTTCACTGGCATTATGCCTGGCTCTCTCTTTATACAAAAAGGAAAATTTGACTCACTTTTTCCCTCCTTTTGTTCTGGCTGAATAACAGTGAATGAATGTGGTGATGGCAGTAAGATGGAATCAGCAGAAATCTATTGACGAAATGGGAGATTTTAAGATATATTATTTTCATATTGTTTAAAAGTCTCATTATGTCCTGAAAGTAGAAAATGAGAGCTAATCTGTGAAAAAATCAAGTCCCGCTGCCTCTTTCCTGTGCCCCTAATAGCATTTAGAAAAATACACAATTTCCAAACCAAAGCAACCAGTCAGTCAGGAGGAGTGTCTATGCTCTGACATTTATGGTCCTATACGGACAGCTCACTCCCGCACAGCGCGGACGCACATCAGTCGTTCAAGGTGACCTAGCGTTTGTAGAAGCTGAATAAAAGCATTCTTGTGCTGCGTTGTTTAATCCATTGTCTTTGCCTCACAGCAACCTTATTTAGTTCATTCTTTCCTCCATTTCTGTTTCTTTTATGTACATTGATCCGTAAGTTAAACCAAAACCAGGATAGAGTGGTTCAGTAAAAGTTGTGCGTACCGTGTACAGGTGAGTCAATTCATCTGGAGACACTTCAAAGAAGGACAAAATACCTGCTGGCCAATCCAAATACACTCCAAGGCTCAACGTTTTAAACTCAGTCAAAAACCATTCGGTGGAACCACTGTGTGAAAAAGTTCCATCTATGGACCAGGACCAAGATTTCTCATTCTGTCCTAAAGAATACTCAGGACTAGAGTCTCCACTCCGGGTGATACTTTTGTATGCCACTCCCACCTCACCGTCTGATAAACGGTGAAACTCAACTTCCCAGTAGTGGCGTTCTGTCAGACCCTCTTTACAAAGAATCTGTGAAGAATCAAATCTGTCTGGATGGTAAGGATAATGTTGCTTCTCTTGATGAAAATGTGCTTGTTTATTGTCTTGGGTCAAAGTGATTGTTCTCCCTGCAGTGTTTTCATCCAGCGTCAGATCACAGGCATCTAAAAAGAGCATTATAAATGTTATTAATCCTTGAATATCACATTTAAAATCTGGTAATAATATCATCCTGGCTAATCCAAGTAGTCTAGCCTAGCAATGCCAATTTACACGCAGTACTAAAATTTGTCCAAGTAATCCAATCCCAGTTGCCTGCCTTACACGTAAACAAGCTTAGCATCAGCTTAACATATAGAAAAAGAAAAACTCAATAAAATGGTTCAACACACACTTGCAAGACTCTTTAGTGGATATCTATGACGCTGCATAAACTGGACATTTCAGACATTTGTGCAAAAACATATTGAAGTTTATAGTCCAGATATCTTCTAAATCCATGAAACCACAACTTTTAATGAGCAGGATACCAACAAGTAAAGATTTCATCTGAAAGAAACCCTTCAGAGAATATCTGGGAAGCATCATAATTTAACTGTTTATATAGAAAAGTATTCATATTTTATTTTGTGGTTTTAAGGCTCTTGAAGAAGAAGAGAAATAAAAGTATAACTTTCTGGGGTTTTTTCTATCTCTTCTGTCTTCTGTCCTTGTCTCCCACACACAGAGCAGTGGGCCACCGAGATGTTTGCTACCTTTGACAAAAAACGCTAAAGGCTATGAAAGCAATGTAGCAGTTTTGCTAATGAGGCTATTTATCATGATTCAGCCAAAGTAATAAAATAATGAACTGCGGCCCAATTTTTATTGTTAATGTTTCTTCTTATTGAGCAGTGAAAGTAAATAAAAGGTGTTTCATGTCTTTTTCTTTAAGTATTAACTCACTGGAGGGTTTTTTGTTTGTGCTGCAGAACCACAGCTAACAGCTAGCTAACAGTTAGCGGCTCTAACGGAGCCTGTGCCGTCCGCAGCTCTGCTGTTGCTCCTCCTCCAAGTTGGACTGAACCATTGTTCTAATAATGGTGGGGGGACCTAAAAATTCATACTTATTTTTCTTAGATAAATTGCAGATTTATTTTGTTCTTTGTTTCTATTGCTTTTTCATCTTGATATTCTTTAAATGCAAACGTTTCTTCAATTATTTTTTTTGAGGGGCGGAGGGACATTTCTAGACTTTTCCAAGATCCCGATCCCCCGGGGTTTTACGCCCATGTCTGTAGCTACGAAAACTGTTTTTGTTGGGATTTTTCACCGAGATTGGTTTTGTTGCCATGTCAAAAGGTGGTTCTCTAATGTTTCCAAGACAGATTGCTTTCAGACTGTCAAACTAATGCAGTAACATTCAAGTGCTGTAGCAGAACATCTCAGAAGGTTGTCAAAGGGCTTCCTAAGTATTTAGCTTTAGACCTCCAAAAGAAAAGTGCCAGAGCCTGGTGACCTGGAAAAGTACACGATTACTTACTTCAATGTATTTAAAAATAAATATTTGGAGTCAAATAATTATGCAGTAACGCAGCAACTAAATACATTTACATGTATAAATGTCTTGACTGATGCTCATTTTAAGATGAGGCTGGTCAGAGTATTTTAAAAAATCAACTAGGTTTTCACACCAACCATCAACTGGATTTACAGACAATGGGCTGAGAAAGAGAAAATATCCACAGAGCAGCAGCTATTTTTATGAAAACACCGTTTTAGTGTCAGAGGAGAATGGGCAGATTGGTTTGAAATGATAAAAAAGCAACAGTACCTCTGATAATGTGGGTCATTTAGACTGAGCAAAACAGAAGCCTTTTGTAATCTAAGGCGTTCAGGCGTGTGTTAACACACTGATAAGGAGACAAACCTTCAATGCTCTTGGTAACAAAACCGCTGCTGCTTGTAATGTTGGAAACTGCTAAATGGAAGATGAACAAATGTCTATAATAAAATGCTATATACTTACACCTTCGCAGCAGTTTATGGTTAACCCAGCATTCTTCATTATGGTCCACACTGATGGCAGGAAGAAAGCCAAACTCAATCTTGCATCTTAACGCTGGAATAATGTTCAGACTTGAGTTAGTTCTTACTTAAGATTTTCTAGACTGCAGTTTGAATCTCTCTGTTTTTCCATCAGGGTTTTGACTCCTTGCTTTGTCAGGTGATTAAAGCTTAGGTCCAACTCCCTGAGGTTGCAGTGGTCAGACATCAGAGCCTTTGCCAAGGAGGAACATCCATCTTCTGTTACTTTACAGAATGATAGCCTGGACAAATCAACCAGCTGACATTTCAGAAGACATAATCTCAGGCCGGCCACGTCTATCATCCTTTGTGTTTTAAAATGATGACATTGAGAAACAGCAACTTGTGGACTAACCTTAATATCTCTAAACCACAATGTGAACTTGTCAGTGCTCTACAGAATGTCTCTACTCCAGAATCATGCAGGTCATTGTAGCTCAAGTCCAGTTCTCTTAAAGGTGTAGGTCTGGAAGTGAGAGCCAAAGCCAGGGTCTCGCAACCTTTCTCAGTCAACTTGTTGTGACTGAGTCTGAAAGACAAATAAATCTCATCAAACTTAGTAGTCATTAAAACAATTAAAAGGAGAAACGGTGCAATGATTTGCAATTCACTGACTAAATTATAACATTGTAAACATCAATAATGTTGAAACTGAGACCGTATGTTGTGATAAGAAGTACGCTTTTCAGTAGATCCCACAGTTGTTGGAGACAGTCTGACTTTCAGCTTGTAATGTAACATCTAACACACTTGGTGAGCTTGAAGAGGTAGGCAGAAGACAGATGTCTGACTATCTATGTTTAGACAGTGGCTCCAGTGATTAAGTCAGAGAGAGGGAGAGATGGGCGGCTGGGTGGGCCAGGGTTTACTTACAGTAGCACCAGCAGCACAAGTCATTCCCTTGTTAGTCAGACAACAACAACTAAAGTTGGTCCATTTGTGAGATCTAGAACGCTTCAGGGTCAAGAAGTCTTATTTTCCTTCTTTAGGAGCACATAGAAACCCACTTGTAGACTCACTATTAAGAGTTACTACCAAGGTCTGTCAAAACACCAACAGATACACAGCAGATCGCTCAGTTGTAAAATGATTTAAATAAGTTCAAAATCAGACTAACCGTAAAAGACAAAAGTATCTGCCACTCTGTTTTTTCTAAGCAATAAATTGAAAAAGTTGCTTGTATTTGCATTTGAGTATATCTAAATCATTTATAAATAAATCATAATTTCCTTTGAAACATTTGTAAAGTACTCTGTGCTTTTACCATAGCTACAAAGTACACTTGAACTAAAGACATACGGATAGTAAACATTACAAGACATAAAACATAAAAACGTGGATGTAAAAGTCATTAGACATTATAGGAATAATAAAAAAAGGTTCAAGAACGCATTAACTTTTTAAAATAAATTTAAAGCAACAGTAGACCTGTTTGTTAGAGTAAAGAAAAGTATGTAGTTTATTTTTGATATTACCTCAGGGTCTCCAGAGCACAGCTTGTGCTCATCAATGCCGTTGATAAGATCTCAACTTCTGAGTCGGCAAAATTGGTGTAATTCAGTTCTAGTTCTCTCAGATTTGTCGAGTTGGTGGTGAATGCCTTCACTATCTTATTGCAGATTTGTTGAATCTCATAATTTCTGTTCAGCCTTAGATTGAAATGGGGAAAAAAAAGTGACGATTTAATGTACAGACAGGTAATACCAACATGATAGGTTAATTTCTATAACTGAAAAAATAAGTTACATTGTGTGTTTTAGTAGAAAGTGAAAATTATGGAGGAATTCAGAGGGAACTACGTCCCGTAAAATACATTTTCAACACTGACCTGAGCTTCTCCAATTTTTGGCACTGAAGAGCCTCAGAGATCACCGGCAGTAGTGAGTTTCTCAACACATTTTCACTCAGCTCCAGTTCTCTTATGTTGGCGATTATTGATTTTACAGCCGAGGCCAACTCTTCTGCCAGTGATGTTGAGAGTCCGTGTCCTGAAAGACTGCACAACACATTGAGCAAAACTGAGACAAATCTGTTGCATAAACACAATATATTTTGGTCAACGTGAGCTACCCATTATTGGCTAATGCAGTGACAAAATTATTAACAACAATTATCTTTCGCTCTTAGGAAAGCAACTTGTGCAAAGTGTTATTTAGCCAAAACCCAGACACTGGAATTTTTTATTTTCTGAAGCTTTTGATCATTTTTCTTCCCTTAGCAATATTTCTAGTAAGTTATGGAAAGTTACCTTCAACATTTAAAGTATTTGAGTTGTTCTTTCTCAGGCACCCTTGATGCAACTAATTTACCCTTTATTAGTTTGCATCAGATATCTCTGACGCTTCACCTACTTTATATTAACAGTGATGGCAGTGCATTTAAACAAGTGGTCATTTTGTTTCTTTTGTACTTTGTTCTATATCAGTAAAAATAGAAAAACAACCATAAAAATATAACTTTCACTGACCTGAGAGCCTCCAGTTTACATGGAGAGTTTGTCAGTCCATCAATCAGTACACCAGTACCTTTTTCATAAAAAGTGTTATGCACCAGATGCAGTTCAGTTAGTGGAGAGCGTGGACTCCACAGAGCCGAAGAGATTGTTTCACAAAGCCAGGGATTAAGATCTGCACCTGATATTCTGCAAAAATGAGACAAGCTTTTAAAATGGAATTATGTTTTGCAGTCAAAGACATAATATGCCACTTAAAAAGAAAAATGGGGCTCTATGATGAGGTTATATTTGATCACTACCTTAAAGAATCTACTCATCTGAGAGTCCTAGTCCTGTTATGACTTCAAGCTTTGAGTACACATTTGTTTGCATGAGCGAAACTGGCATGTGGTTCTATGATTACCCAAAAAAGTAAATTAAAATTGTATTTTTTAATGATTTATCTTTAAAACAGCAGTCTCAAACTGCAGTTCTTGATTCCTGCAACTTTTAGACGTGTCCCTTGTCCTAAACACTTGAATTAAATAGTGAAACTGCCTCGTTAGCATGCAGTCAAGCTCTACAGAGCTCTGCTAATGAGTTAATATTTGAGCCAAGTGTGCTGATGCATAGAGACATTCAAAGGTTGCAGGACACCGGCCCTTGAGGCCTATGAATCTATCTATGCATCTTTTGTTTAAATATATAATAAAGTCCAACATGATATACTGCTGTATTAACCAGTTTTGGTTGATTATACCAACTTGCACAGGTACAATGTTTATTTATTTATTAAGTTATTTAAGTTTTGTGGTGACAGATTTAAATCTAAAATTCTTATTAACAATCTTATTAAGCTAAGTAAGTTATTACTGGCTGAAGCACAGCTATTTCTCCTATCATTTAATTAATTTCCTCTGACGTTTCCATATGCACACTTTTTAGTTTTTACCAGGTGAATGCGTGAAACAAAAGTCAAATTCCTTTTTTGGACCAATATAGACAATTCTGATCATTGCAGTCCCTTTTTTAACTGAAACCTCAAATCAAGAGACTCAGCAAACCTACAAAGCGGTTCAAATACTTCCACACACTTTCAATTTAAATACCTTTTAAACTATTCATATTTAACCCTAATCAAATAATAGCATCACTAACCAAAAACCAAAAGAAAACTTGCCTGGCTTTTCTGCAGTTCCTCACAGCTGGGATAATCCTGAAACTGCCCTTTTCTTTTGTTGTGTATTTCGTCAAGTCAAATTCCTCTATCGGCGTAGTTGACATCAGCATTAAGTCAGCCAAAGCTGAACACTGAACAGGGGTGAGCTCTGTTTCTGGGTACTGATTTGGATTCAGAAACTTTCTCACACTGTCATACAGGGAATCATCTTTCAGTTCAGCCAAACAGTGAACCAGATTCAGACATCTGTCTGGAGAGCAGTCCAAAAGATCAATTTCTGTTATGCTTGTCCTGATCTCCTCAACAACTTCAGAGTGTTTCTCTGTTTGCTGAATGAGGCCTTGAAGCTGATTTTGTGTCGACTCTAAGGACATGCCAATGAGGAACCTAAGAAACATGTCCAGTTCTCCTGTCTTTCTCAAAGTTGAGTTTGCTATAGCAATTTCCATTAGCTCATCCAAAGGCAGATCAACTGGGTGAACATCCAAGGTTTCCTTCAGCTCTTCCTCAGATCCTATCAGAAGGAAATCTTTGAGGCTTTGAGAATTGATTGTTTTACTTGCAAAGCTTCTGTACACAAAGAGAGCAGCAAAGTACTCCTGAATTGTCAAATGCACAAAGCAGTAAAGCTTCTTTGAGTGAAAGATGCTCTCTTCTTTGAATATTGTGGTACACAACCCACAGTCGACTCCAGCTTTCTTCGTGTCGATGTCATAACTTTTTAGATCATCACTGCTGAATATAATTTCTCCTTTGTTCAGTTTTTCAAATGCCATCCTGCCCAGCTTGAAGATGAAATCTTCATTCAATCTGAAGATTTCAGTGATATCTAGCTCGTTCTCCTTGTCGTATTTCTCAGCAGCGATCTTTATCTGAATACAAAAGAAGTGTGTGTACATTTCAATGAGAGTTGTGGGTATCTTAGTGGTTTTCTCTCGACCGTTTTCCATTTTTGAAAGCAAGTACTCAAGAACCTTTGAGGCAATCCAACAGAAGATGGGTATGTGACACATGATAAATAAGCTCCGTGATGTCGTAATATGATCAATAATCTGTTCAGCAACCATTTTGTTCTGAACTCTGTTCCTGAAGTACAGTATTTTCTGTGGATCATTGAAACCTTTGATTTCTGTCCACTGATGGACATATTCTTTGGGGATGCGCTGAACGGCTCCTGGTCTTGAAGTTATCCAGACGAGTGCAGAGGGCAGAAGATGTTCCCTAATCAGATTGGTCACCAGGATGTCTACGGATGATTCCTTTGTTGGATCTGTCAATCTTTTCGTTTTTAGGAAGTTCAGTTTAAGCTGACTTTCATCAAGGCCATCAAAAATGAACAAAACTTTGTTATCAGCAAATATTTTATTGACTGCTGTGTTCTTGAGTTCAGGATGGAATTCTTTAACAAGAGTCTCAAGGCTGAACTCATCGTCTTTGACCAAATTAAGCTCCCTGAATGGAATCATGAAGATGAAGTCCAGGTCTGGATTCGCTTTCCCATCTGCCCAGTCAAGAATGAACTTTTTTACAGACACAGTTTTACCGATTCCAGCAATTCCCTTGGTCATCACTGTTCTAATGGCTCTCATTTCTGGTCCGCTTTGAAAGATATTGTTGCAGTTTATCTTAATTCCTTCTGTTGCTTGAGTTCTAAACTTGTCTTCAATCTCCCAAATCTCATGTTGCTTATTGACATGTTCATTTTCTCCTTGAACAATGTGAACCTCCGTATAAATCTGATCCAATAATTTTATTTCTTTGTGATCTTTTTCGGTGCCTTCCAACTCCCATGCGCACTTTTTCCTCAAGTATTCTTTGTTATTTTTGATGACGTTTTTAATGATATCTTCAGCTGCGGGAACAAAAAAAAAGCTTTAATTTTTTATTTTTACGTCGTATCATTATTTTTTTTTAAGCATGTTATTAACTTGTGTACATTTTGATCATTTTTTTTAGATGAACTTACACAGTTGCACACTTGTTTTGACCGGATAAGCTGCATAGTATTTATGCTGAAATTTTGCCCCTACTATACACTGCACATTCTATTCTATTGTGTGACCATCATGGTCTTTGTACATTTAAAAAGTGCCCACATGTGGTCACAGTTTAACATAATTAAAAAAATACTTGAGTTAAACTGACTGTTGGCACTTCATGCTAAGGTATGTCAATTAATTGTGCCAGCAACGCATCTGTATGGCATAACAAGAGATTAGTTGCAATGTGCACAGCACAAGATTTCTCATAATGGTAGAAATAATAACCTTCATTTGACCAGATAAAAAGTATTGTAGAAATTATCAACATTTATATTCATAGAAGTAGATTGGTTTAGCTTTAAAAGCATAAAATAATAAAAACAGCTAATAAAAATATGACTATCAACAACAATGGTATTTAACAAAACTCGCAGTGCTTTTAATGTCTTAGCTGGGAATGGATTTACATGTGCTGTTACTGGAATCGGTGCGTAAACCAGGAATGGTATTTCCTGAAATCTACGTATATATTTTTGTAAAATAAAATATTAAAGAAGTCATATATGTGACAGTGTAAAAGCTACCTTTGGCAAACACAATACCTATTAAAAAAAAACATAGGCATGAAGTAAACATAACGTACTTCCACAAGTCTGAGGTTGAATTTTTCCAAGGATATCGTAGAAAGCTGCTTTTGCCTTTGGAGAATTAAGAGCCCTGAAGAGTTTTCTCATCCGATCCTGGTTCACCGGCGAGGCTTCGATTTGGTCATACGTCTCCTTGTGGATTATCTTCAACTTGAGAATCTGGTCAGCTATGGGCATCACTGGAACTACACTCTGAATAAGCTCAGGCATGTTACTGTCCACCCAAGTTGCTTGTTTTAATAAAAAATAAAATAAAATAAAGGTTATTGCACCACACAGCAACAATTATACTTATGTAATTCTGCATCAGGAGACTGTATTTAGACTTTTCATCTTATCTTACTTACCTTTCTCTTCATCTGATTCAAGCTTGGATGAGCTGACAAAAGACAAGAGCAACTTAACTGTATAGACATTAGAGATGCTTCAAGCTGATTTTATTGCAGTGCTTTAAGTGGAACAAATAATTGTTTTTTTTTTTAGGAAATCTTGTACAACACCTTGTTTTGGTTTTTGTTCTTCTATAATGTTGTGCATTTTTTTCAGTTGTACAGCTGGATGTTTAGTCACATCTTTTGTCAGGGGTGTCTAAATCCAGTTCTCAAGAGGCAGATTTTAAATGCATTCCTGCTCCTACACATCAAGTAGCTGAATTCCCTCACCACCACCACCAGCAGTCATAGTGATGAGCAGCTCATTTGATTTAGATGTGTTGGGGAAGGAACGTAGGTAGGTAGGCAGCTCTCAAAAACTGGACTTGGAAACCCTTGCCCTATGTGTATAATGATAAATGCACGTTGTATAACCCTTAGCAGGATAAAAATTATTTTTTTTTAAAATCCAACAAAGCTTACCTTGGATTGTGAATTTCATGAGATGCATCATTTGCCAAACTGATAAAGTTCTCAGTAGAGTCCTTTGTCTCAGAAGAAAAAGTCTCTTCCTTCAATGTTTCCATTTCATCTTTTACGTCCTTTAAATGAGATGACTGTGCAGCTGAACAAATGTCTCCACTTTTCTTTTTGTCAGAGTCGTCATTCCGTTTATCCTTTTTACAGGATCCTTTTCTCATTTCCTTATCCCTCCTGGCGCCAGAGCACCGGTTCCCCATGATGTTATTTCTTCACCACAGTGACTCTGTCAGGAATGACATATTTTAAAGCAAAAAAAAACAATCCAAGCAAACAAACTTTACATGCTGTTGATCAAGGTTTACAAGTCAAACGAAGTCTTTAAAAGTGAAAGTAAAAGTCTTGTCTTCTTATCTTTGCCCCATCTCATGTTTTACAAGTGAAGATAAATTATTTACCATACTTCTTTAGTTTTATTTTAGCTGTTAATAATTAACATGAATGTATCATTTGAGACATGGAGTAAAATGCTTTACCTTGACATCATGTAGTAAGCAAGAGCAGAAAATTCCACATGGCTGGATATCAAATGGCGCGTTTTGGCTTAAAAGCCTGTGAGCAGTTATTTTTTCCGGAGACAGGAAGTAGTCACTCACAGAGCGAACCCAGCTGTAAGACTGTGTGTCTGTGTGTGTGTGTGTGTGTGTGTGTGTGGGGGGGGGTGTAGTGGGAGGAGGGAATGTTTCAGGCGTTCCACATAAATGAATGTCATAAGAACTATTCTTGCAGCTGTTCAGCCACAACAGATTTTAATAGAACCTATATTGATTAGGACAATAATAAAAAGCTTGCATTAATTTTATATGCTCTGGCTTCTCATGTCTCTCAGGCTACATTTTAAGATTTTACATACTAAATTATTTTTACAGCCTTGAATGGTGATAGTCTGAACACTTTTGTTGTGTTGAGACGTGCATAAATTGAGTTACAAACTGCAGAGCTTATGCAATAATGGACGCACAAAAATACCAGGCTTTAATCATAATATCGGATTAAAAATTACTTTAACAAACTAACCTCCCGAGATTATCCAAATGCAAAGACTGTGAAATTTTAGATCCCAACAGGTCAGTATGTGAAATATTAATGACATAGTAGAATAGCTATTGAATGTCACTAATGTCTGGTTTATGAGAAGATCCCTTATTTTCTCCCTTTGCCTATAAAACTCCTCTCACTCTATGTGCTGAGACCTTTTGATTACACGTGTAAAATAAGAAAATGATTATACTTATGTACCCGTGGAAAACACTGCAACGAGCCAACGTAACTCATTCCGTTATTTTAGCTTACCGGCTCTCACCAGAAGGTGGCAGTATAGACCGTCTCTCACACATGCCAGGAATGATGTCCAACCAGAACAAAAATCTGAGGGGTGATTTGCAAAACCAAGATAGCAGATTGAGTTGGGATTTTCCAGATATCCTGACTTAATTAAGCCTCGATTCATTCAATCAGATCTACAGTTAAAGCCCCAAAATTCATTGTAAATATGTGGCAAGACTTGGAAATGATTATTCACAGACACTCCATGTCCCATAAGAATGAGTCTTATTCTGATTTTATTTTACAGAGTTAGTTTGTAAAAATTGGCAAAGGTTTTAGTCTCTGTATGATGTGAAGACATACCCCCAAAATAACTAAGATGTCCCATAAAGTCAGGTATGCTCACTTTTAAAGTGTGCTGTACATTCCCACTCATCTGGTTCTACCTATTCTCTTTGTTATCTTAAGGAAAGTTAGAGGATTGACACAAGGCTTTAAATGTCAGAATAAAAAAATCAACCACTCTTTGGGATACATCATTTATTAAAATTAACCACCAGCAAACAACACCATCAAATACAGACCAATAGAAATTACAGTATGAAGATATAAACAGGCTCAAAATCTAAAAAAATAAAAATAAAACAACCATCTTTTATCACATAAAAGATTTTACATGAAATGAATTATGAGGAAACATTCAAAGTATCAATAGCTACAGAAATGATTGAACAAAGTCAAGATTACTCAGGAGATTTTATGAACTCAGTATGTAACCAATATTATTTTTATTTTTGCACTCATTGGGTTATCTACCATAATTACAAAAATACATTTAAACCGAGTTTTGTGGTTGTTGATTTTTGCTTTGTCTTTTATGTAATAAGGAACGCATTTTTTGAGGCCAATGATGTGGACACAAAGTTTCTGGATTGTTCTATGTAATCTTATCTCATCAATCTTGTAAAACACAGTTATTTGCTTTTATTTACAGAATAGCACCTACCACCTCTGCTCTGGATCAGCACCAACATTTATTTTGCTGATAAAATAGTGACAACTTACACACTCATCTCATACAACATGCATTAGATTAGATTAGTTTAGCCATTGGTAAAAATAGCTAACTTGAATGAAAGGCACACGTTAGGAAACTGAGGAAGGAAGGTTACTAATCCCACCATAACTTTAGTTGTCAAAAACAGAAACTGTGACACTGTCACTATTGGGTGAGGTCAAAGTTTGACTGTCCACAGTCTTCTGATAATAACAGCGGTAATCTCCCTCATGATTATTATTGGCTTCAAGGAATCTGAATGTAGAGGAGTTGGTAGTTGATTGTTGGGTCTTAGTGAATGATCCAGAGGTCTTCTGCAGGGTGAATGATCCCCCTAAATATTGGGTCGGGACAGAACAAGTGATGGCAATGAGGTCACCCCATTTAACCACGCCTGCAGGATCCATGGAGATGCTTGGTTTTGGAGGAATCTCTACAAACATAATGAGAATGTTATTTTTTATTTTTTTTTTGTGCAATTTTGTAATTAACTAATTGATTTAAAGTAATTAGGAAAACATTACCAGTCAGATTTAGATGGACAAAATCACTAAAAACAGAGCTAAAAGCTCCGCTTTGAACTTGACACTGATATGCTCCCTCATCTGCCGAGGTAACGTCATGAATATGTAACGTAGCC